TGTAGTAGAGAAAACGAAATATTTTTACCGAATAATTGTTATTTCAAGCTACTTACGGAAAATATATAATTTCAACGAGGAAACATTGTAATTTCGCGTTTTTTTTTTGTGATACTCCTCTTAAGAACTTAAGATACTGTCGTCATCGACTATCCAGTGTACCGTTGTAAAAATCTCACTATCGCTTCTCAATATCCCCCTTCCCATCGGACCGCGAAAGCTACCAGACGTATCCTCCGTGATTGTTGTTTTTATAAATAAAATAACTTTTCAAAAATTTCTCCAAAATAAACTTAAAAATCCGTGCATGTACCAGTGCAACATACTTGTCACGTAGTACCATCCTGCTTCATCGAAGAGATAAGCCGTCGGTTCCGACTCTTTGTATACTGCCAGCGTGTATACATTTGCTGCATAATTTTTGGCTCCACCCACCGCCTTTGCTCAAGAGCGCCTGCTATTATAAAATAGCTAATCTGCAGAAAAATATTGTCTAGCTCAATATATTTAAAAATCAACATACTTCGTTCACCAAATAAAGCAGGATCAGACTCCGATATCTCCAAGGCACCGAAAACCCCTTCTTCGTTTGCAGTTTCAATACTAAAATGACGTCACGATGAACTCTCAAGGGATGACTATTTCGTTCAAAGAAGAAGTTATGCAGATGCTGAAGTCATGGAAAGCTGATCATGAAAACAAATTATCAATTTTTTTTATAGAAGAGGAGGCAAACGAGCATACGTTACACCTGATGTTAAGCGACTACCGCCGCCCATGTACATCCGCAACACCAGGGGAACTGCAGGTGCGTTGCCGGCCCTTTAGAAAGGAGTAAGCTCTTTTCTTCAAGGTCCCCAGGTCGTATCGGTTCAGAAAAATCGCCGATGGTAAACTATCCCACAGTGAGGTCGTACGTGGAAGAAAACTCCTAGTGAAACGTACAGTGGTGGACCGCCAAGTATCCAGATAGTGCAGATGGTATCGGGAGTTACCGCGTAGTGCGTTCGTGAAATATGGCGGCTGAAATTAATCCGAACAATTTCTCAGAGCACTCCCCGTGATAGATGCGACAAAATACACAAAGAGATGCAACATCTCTTTGCAGCGCCAGTGAATCGAGCCAATCGAAAAGCAGTCGGTCGTTAACGATTCGAGCCACTCTGCACTGGATGCGGTCAAGTGGAAGGAGCTGGCACTGGGAAGCCCCAGCCCGGAGATGGGAACAGTTTCCATGTGCGGCCGAACCTGCGTCTTGTAAAATTGCAGGCGGTGTGCCGGCATGAATTACTGTCCCGCTCTGCCGAGCACGCCAAGCTTTTTAGAGGCCAATTTGGCCTTCTCTTTCAAGTGAACACGAAATTGCATGTCACTCGATATGTCGACGCCGAGGGTTCCGATACTGGCTGAGGCAACAAGGGAAATGCCTTGAAACTAAGGAGATATGACAAAGGGGTTCTTTTTGGCGGTTAACGCGCAAACTTGTGTCTTCTGAAGGTTAAACTGGACTAGATTTAGTCACCCCAATCTGTTCTTTTCTGAAAGACTGTTCAGCAAAGACTCAACTCCAGACACAAGTTTGTACCGGTACTTGGAGACGTTTTCCCGAGAAATATTGGCACGGCCGGTGTACAAAACATCACCAGTGCTATCATCTGCATAGCAATAAATGTAGCCGATTTGCAGCATATCATAGATATAAAACGAAAAATAGTCTTAGAAATATCAAGAAGATAAATACAGACATAGAAAAGTCACTCGAATTTATGTTCCTGAAATATGAGGATATGCAAAAGAAAATAATGACAACAGTGTATAGATAACCATAAAACATTAGCAAAAGAAATGGCATAGAGACACGTAATATTACTGAAGAAGAAAAAGAAAACGCGAGATGATTTAACGCAATTAGTGATGCACCTCTCGAAAACATCAAATATTAATTTACAACCGTTTGATATTAAGGATATGTTTCGTGGCCCCGGAAAAAAGGGTTTCAATAGACCCATAATTTTTGAATTAGCAAACATCTCATAAAAGCAGACGATACTTAGCTCTGTGAAATCCTTTAATAAAAACAACCCCAGTGAAAAACTCAATGTGTCATATTTGGTATAAATATTAATGCTGTTCCATTGTACGTGGATACGTACTTTCTTTCTTTAATATTTTCTTCTTACTAGAGGTGAGGTATTCGGGTGAATACCTAACCTCTATTAAGAAGAAAATATACTACTTGGCACGCCAGTTTTAAAATGTAAACGCCAAAGAAAAAATTTACAAATTTTGCTGAACTGCAAACGGAAAAGTTTTTATAGGAAGATCAGATGGATCACCTGCGGTATTAATTAGAAATTAAGCTCAATTCCAGGATCTAAAATGTGATTGACTAGATATTGCTTCATTGTGCCTGAAAATTCGTTTTAACTATTCCTTAAGTTACTGCATGTTAAGTTTAATTTCGAAAATGCAATTTTTCCAAACTCTTTAAAAAATCCTATAGTTCATCCCATTTTCAAGGGTGGTGACGGACTTTAGTTACTAATTATCGCCATATTGCCGTACTACCTCCTACCTTATCTAAAGTCTTAGAATGTTTAGTGAACAATAGACTATTCCATTATATTGAACACTTTAAATTATTCTCACCTCAACAATTCGGATTTTATAAAAATAAATCAACTTTTGATGCAGTTCGTGAATTAATAAATTTCATGGTCACTAATCTATATAGTCATAAGAAGGTATAGGACTATTTCTAGAACTAGCATAAGTCTTTGCCACAATTCATGTTTCCACTCTATTAGCAAAGTTAGAAAAAGTGGGTGTAGACTTTTTTTTAGAAGTTATCTTACTAATCGCACTCTAATGGTTAAAATATCCGACTGCGTCGGTGACGAACTTCCTGTTTCCTATGGTGTACCCCAGGGAAGTATTCTTGGCCCAACTCTATTTCATGTTTTTATTAATGACTTGTGCAATCTTCACATTGATAGCGCAGAAATCGTCTCTTTTGCTGACGACACAGCTATTACTTTCTATGCAACATCTTGGAAAGATCTTGAAAGTTTATCATGACGTAGTTTTAATCAATCTATTTAAATTTAATCAATCAATCAATAATATATAATTGACTTTTATCTCACACTCTTAACATTAATAATTCCAAATCTAAATTTATAATTTTCTCGATCGGTCCCACCTCGAAATTAAATATTCTCATCAAGTTGAAAGCTCACTCTTGTTCTCTTCAGTCTTCCCCTTGTCTTTGTCAACAGATAAATTCTGTAGATAATACAAAGTATCTCGGTATTATACCAGATAAACACCTTAATTTTAAACTGTATATAAATCTCTTAACATGTAAGGCTCAAAAACTAATACATATATTTAATACACTACGATATGTTGCCAGTTCCATAATTAAACGCAACGTTTATTACGGACAACTGTGTCTACAAAAGGCTCATGTAGAGATTTTGTGGACCCTCCCGTAGAGCGTTTTCTCTTTCCATACGGTCTCCTGGTCGGAAATGCTCTGTACTACCGGGCTATTACTTGTTGGCTAAGGATAGATGACAAGAAATGACGTCCGTATAGAATAGATCATCCGATCTCGTCAGAAAGTAGTTACGGAGGCTGCACACTTCACACACACACTTCGCGATTATGCACAGTAAGCACGCTTAAAAAGTCACGCCCACTATATTTCCGCGGCAGTTGCAGCCTCGTAATCGAAGATCTTGGGTGATGCATCCTATGGGACGTCATAGTAGTGCGGAATTTCCTATCCAGGGCGTTAAGATGAGTTTGAGTTCACATAAGTATGCCAAAGGCATACATGAGTACAGGCATGACCCAACCGTTATATGCGCGTGTCTTATTCACACCGGACAAAAGACTGTTAAGCACTTTGGTCAAGCGTGCATAAAACATGTCGCAAACTGACTGTTTCATACCAGCCTCACCGATACCGATGTTCTGTGATATACCCAGGTATCGGTGTCGTTCAACCTCGGAAATAATCCTTAAGCTAATGTGTATAGATAAGTCTATACCCTCAGAGTTAGCAACCCCTCCCCTTTCAACAAGGAGGACCGCACAATTATCCGTTCCCAGCTCCATTCTAATAGAATTGCTAAATTCATAAGTGATATTTAGCAATTCCATTAGATGGGAGCGACTGGAGGCGAACAACTTGGGGTCATCTATAAAGAAAAGGTGGGTCACATTTGTTCCTCCTTTCCGAAGCTGAAATCCCCTCCCGGAGCCCTCCAATAAAGTACTGAGAGGGTTCAAAGAGAGGCAAAACCGGATTGGACTCAGACAGTCGCCCTGAAACATACCCCTTCTTATCCTTATGCGGCTTTTCGCAGCCGTCATTCGCTCACCCAGATGACAAAGGATCGTACTCCGCTGCCCCATACATTGCTCGAGGAAGTCTCTAACTGCGCAGTCAATCTTGTACAGCTCGAGAACCCTCTTTAGCCACGTATGGGGAACTGAGTCGAATGTCTTTCTGCAGTCTATGCAGGCGGCGGAGAAGTTCCGACGGTTGCGTTTCACCACTTTGACAATGAACGCGGCAATGAGGAGTGGTTTCTTATTTCTAAGAACGCCACATCGACATCCATTTTGAGCGCGCGACATCACCTGATTATCTAGGCGAAGAGTGATTCTCCTCTGATGTCTTGTATATGATCGATAGACACGTGATGGGGCGGTATTTGCTCGGGTCTGTGGTAAACTCGTCTTTAAGTAGCAAATGAGTGATCCCAGTAGTGAAGAGGCTAGGGAGCGACTTCTGGTTGAAAGCTTCTAGAAAATTTCGGGCGAGCACATCGTAACACTCCACAAACTCCTTCAGCTAGTAGTGATGCAACCCGTCAAGTACCGGACTTATACAGTTCGGGGCCCTACGAACCGCTTCAGCCACGTAATCCGACGTTATGACGAGGGGGTCCATTGGCTTAATACTCGCACACTGACTCGCCATAACTTCATTCCAAGAGGCCTCGCTGTGGTTTATGGGCTCTGACCACAGGGCGCCAGAATGCAACTGTGTCGGCCTTATTCGGTGCTGGGCCCGTTCCACTTACCACTGGTCGCTCCAATGATTTATAGAGCCTCTTCTCATCACTCTGGAAGAGACGATTCTGGTTGAACCGTGTCCACCTCTCGGTATATCGCCAAATCCACTTTTCTCTAGCAGCGATTCTCTGCTTCAGGTCGTCTATGCGCTCCGTCAGTTTTTGCATTATATCCAGCTGGGACAAACTAACATTTGTCCCAGCAAACGCCATTCTGACGGTGCGCACAACCCTTGGTCTCTTATCATATCAGTCTGCCGATGAGAGTCCTAGCTTTTGCGATACGTTCTTCAACTCTTATTCTCCAGGCTGGGATAGCGCTACTTTGTCCAGTAGCGCGTCTAGCCGTGGAAAGTTGGGCGCCTATAATACGGCAGACTGCCAGTGCGGCGCCAAAAAGGATTGAGTCCGTACCTTGCAAAGGTCCCGGCTGTCTTCCAAATAGGTCACCAGCATTGGGTTCAGAGTTCTCACGACAGCCCAATTCCGCTTGCTTAGGGCTATGCGAGGAAGTCGCGGGCAATTTTCGAGAGGCGTAATGCGCGTTTCCACAATCGCATCTTCCAATGTATTACTTATTTGCCTTAATTCCAGTTCCTGGGCGACTGTTTCTTCATTGTTTGAATCAACCACAACTGGGGTATTCACGGCAGTATCCACGTTTGCGGGTTGCACATGCTCAATGCATTTTCATCCGATGAGGGAACTAGCCTCAGGTCGTAGCCGTTTGAGTCCGGCGACATCTAATATATTTGAGCGCGAGATACCGAACCGTATACCTAACTCTGTCTACCAGGTTTTGCTCGGTGACGGTTAAAGATGGCTCCAGGTCAGCAAAAAGTCAATGCATCCTAGCCTGATAGGCAAAACCTCCAATTTCTCCCCCTTTCGCTCCAAAATCTTCCCTCAATGCGTTGCTATTAATCTGCATTGTCCAACGCATGCGGCGTACTCTACCAGTAACGGTGCCGATTGCTGGGCCCGCGAAATCCCTGCTGACACCAAGCCAGCTGGTGGGGATGATGGATGCGAGGGGCTGCTGGATGGTCAAGCAGCACTTCGTGCTCGGCCGGCGGTTCGCATGCAGTCGCGTTCAGCTCCAGGTCCAGACGCGCCCTGGCGACCTCCAGGCAGCAGCCCTTTGCGCGTTCTATTTAATTTCATCATCCATTTAATGGGCGTCATTTAACGGGAGACGTCCGGACCCGGTGCCGTTTCATGGTGAGGCTTTGTGCGTAAGCGGGCCTTTGCGCCTTAAATTTTTGCCGAGGCACGGCACTTACACCTCTCGGCAAGGTGCTGACTGACTGCGCTGACGTAGCGGTTTTGTCACATAGTCGTTACGTCAGTGGGCGATGGGGTCGTCACTTCCTTACGCCTTGTATTATTGTTATATAATATAACGCATCGACATAATAGCATGTAGAAGTTTATAGAACAAAATACCTAGGCTGCACTAAAAGTATCGGGAATGGAATATTTCCACTGTTCCTGTCATATTAAAATCTTTTTAAATGAAAACTACTTGGTTTTAATAATTGAATACCATTTATTTATTTAAAAAAAGATTCTCGGTCTTGTCACAAGGTTTTGTCAAACCTGTTTAGTCGTTGAGAAAATGGAATTGACTCGAGAGCGTTGATTTATTATGACTTTCGAAGTGGTTTAACACAAAAACAGTGTGTTGACCGGATAATTTCTGCATTTGGTGATGAAGCCCCATCCAAAACCATAATTTATCGCTAGTTTGCAGAATTTCAACGTGGACGTGTCAAGCTCAGTGATGATCCCCGTCAAAGTCATCCAAAAACTGCAGTCACCCAAGAAAACGTTGATGCTGTTCGTAAGCTGATTGAGGAAGATCGACATGTGATATACCACGAAATTCAGGCAACTTTAGACATTGGCATGAGTCAAATACAAATAATCTTGCATGAACAATTAGGTGTAAAAAAGTTGTTTTCCCGATGGATACCGCATTCGCTCTGTGAAGAGCAAAAAGCGGCTCGCGTTACTTGGTGCGTCAGAACTCTCGAAAAATTCCACGTAGGATCCTCAAATGCTGTATACAACATCGTATCATGTGAAGAATCCTGGATATACGCGTACAAAACCGAAACAAAAAACCATTCACGAGTTTGGGTGTTCGAAAATGAGTTAAAGCCAACAAAAATTGTTCGTTCACGGAGTGTTGCAAAAAAAATAGTGGCCACGTTTGTCTCCAAAACCGGCCATGTTACGACTATTCCTCTTGAGGGACAAAGAACGGTTAATGCGAGTATGCTAGCATTTGTTTGCCACAGGTCGTTTCTGAACTCCGTAAAGAGAACTGCAACCGCCGCATCATCCTCCATCACGACAATGCGAGTTCTCACAACTCACACAGAACAAAAGAGTTTTTAGAGCAAGAAAACATAGAATTATTAGACCATCCACCGTACAGCCCCGACCTAAGTCCTTATGATTTTTATACTTTCACTAAAATAAAGAATAAATTGCGTGGACAGAGATTTTCATCACCTGAAGAAGCTGTGGACGCCTACAAAACGCCCATTTTTGAGACCCCAACTTCGGAGTGGAATGGTTGTTTCAATGATTGGTTACATCGTATGGAAAAATGTGTCAGATTTTGCGGAGAATACTTCGAAAAGCAATGAATACATTTTTAAATAGTAATGTTGTGTCACTTCCTTGATTCCCGAAATTTTCAGTGCCGCCCTCGTATAATAAAGAATATTTACTTATAACTTGACAATGGCAAAACTTTAATGGTACGATTGTACTCCATAAATAAAAAAACAATAGTTTAGTAAATTAATACAATATTACTTTAAATATCAAACTGTGTTATTAATTAATTATTTAATACTTTTGCACAAGCTTTGTTTGCTATATCAGAATACAATTTCTGACAAGTTTGTTTCATAATACCTGTAAGCATTTTGTAGTTAACAACACTAATAAACAGAAAAAAATGCATCATAGATAAGCAAAAAGAGCGACGTGCGCTCTTTTTGCTTATCTATGATCGTTTAACTCTTAAGACTGTGGAATAATCATAAGAGTTTCCTTCACACAATCTAATTCGTCAGTTATTGTTTTGTAGATAATGAGAGCAAAAAATTTAAACTAGTTTGACTACTTTATAAGTGACTGAGGTGCCACAATAGCTACACGATAAAAATAATATGTCAACTGCAAAAGTAAAATCGGGGGCCGGGAGGCAGGGTGTGGATCATCATCGAAGAGTTGTGCCAGTTCGGAAGGTACCAGATCGTGATGCTGCTGCTGGCTACCTTCCCTGTGATCTTTTCTGGGTTTGCCGCAGGAGAGTATATCTTCACGATAGCTAGAATTCCTACTAGGTAATTTACTGTCAAGAAAATGTTATAATGTTTCTATTAGTTCAAATAGTTCGATATGTTATGGTAATCAGATAGTATCAACTTTAACTACCCGCCGTGTAACCCACAGTTACCAGGATTAGACAGACGTGCGGCCGGCATAGGTTTGAGACAGTCATATTATATTTCACCTGCGTTACTAGTCTTCGATTCGTTTCCTTCATGCTTGCGTATGATGGTTGAGTAGACTTGATTCACTATTTTTGCTCATTAAAGCTATTACTTTGACAATTTTTACACAATTTCTATCATAGTTTACCACATAATATTAATGTATATGTAATTTGTATGTGATAGAGCCACGCTGCAGCTATATTTTGGTTGAAACACGAATGGGTCGGCTCGACAAGGCAGGGACCACGCTCTTACAGAACACCAGCGTAAAATAGCACCTTAATACTGCTGTGTTTCGTATGGTGAGTGTAGAGACCTGGAGACACTTTTTTACTGGAAACGAGGCATTCTATCTTAGTCCTCAAGAGTGACAACGTATCTGTGTTTTGATTCTTAATCGAGGATAAATGTAGATGTCTATGGGCCACAGCATCCACTTACCATCAGGTGGACTGTGTGCTCGTTTGTCACCCTTATTCTATAAAAAATTGCAATATCAATGTTTTTTGAAAAAAAAAATTAGTGAAACACATTACTATTACATTAGGAGGTAGAACTCCCCTAGTGCATCTGAGTGGTGCCACTTTTAGCTATTTCTGGCGTCAACTAGCAGTACTTGCCATTAAATAAAATGGGGATGTCACAGGATGTGAGGCATTCCAGCTCCTCAGAAATGACAACGCATCTGAAGCCTCCTTTGTTTGAAGTTGGATGCAGCAGTCCATGAACTGCAGGAGACGCCATCAGTTGGACTGTAAGTTTATTTGTCATTCCAGTTTTACGTTTTCATCTGAATTTAGTCTCAAGCGAGATTAATTTGTGTAAAGTGCTCGTGATCCACGGTGAAGAAAAACATCGCGAGGAAGCGTGCATGTCTGAGGAATAAAACATTTCTGCGACGTATCTGCCTAGGAGTCCGGCGGTGTAGGTACCACCGCCTTACATAAATAGATAGGAGGGTGGTACTTACATAAATAGATAAAAGAGTAGTACTTACATAAATAGATAGGAGGGTAGTACTTACATAAATAGATAAGAGGGTAGTACCTAGACGGACAGACGGACTCCTAGCCAAAAAAGGATCATATTATCAGTAATAAGCTCGAGCCCTGTGGAAATTACGAATTGCACGTGACCCTTGAACTACCATTAAAAAAAATGATAATTGATAAGCTTTTATATACTTTCAGGTGTTTAAATGGCCCAATCCGGAGTACGCCCCGTCTTGGGTCTTAAACGCTGTCCCTGGTACGAGTATCGGCAGCTTCGAGAACTGCAAGCGCTACGTCAACAGTACCCAGGGTGTTGACATGTACGGCATCTGCCCTGCCGCCTGGTTCGACACTTCACGTACAGAGGACTGTCAGGAATACGTATATGAGTAGATAGGTGACTGACTCAGTGAGCCAGAAGTGGTACAACGTTCGTCGACTCACGATCCTAAACGAAAAGGTTTTGGCATGCTCTGATCACGAATCTGCGGTCCGTTTTTGCGTAGGATGCACGGTTCCAGAGATATGCGGATCAATTAACTCTTATCTAATTCATATCCGGTGAGGGCCGCCACCGTCATCAGCACCCCATTGTTCTTATCTATTTATCTATTGTTCATTGAATCCGTCATTGTCTATTTTTCCTCGGCGTATGCGTCGGTTTATCAGTGCTATTGTATTATACTTCTTCGTTCCTATCTAC